GGAAAAGGAAGCAGGCCCTGTTCTGTTAAGCTCTGCCCAACCTTTGGAGAACGCTCCCAGGGATGCCCAGGGTGGGATTGTTGGGGTGTCTGTGCAGGGCTGGATGGTCTTTGGGGGTCTCTTCCAGCTCAGGAGGTCTGCAAAGCAGAGTGCCCACGTTGGTGTGAGAGCTGCCAGCCAAAACCTTAAATTTTAACTTGTGCTTGGGCCAGAGGTGGTTCCTGCCTCTTGTCACTTGTCTTGGTTTCACAGGCAAAGGTGCTGGCTCGCTGCCACCATCCACTCCCTGGAGCTCATTAGGAGCCTTTTTCAGCTCCCCTTGTAGCCAAACAACAGGGATCAGCTTTCCCAGGAGCTGATATATCTGCTGACCTCTCCAAAGGGAAAAAAACCTCCTGTAATTCATTACCTGACTTCTGTAGAGGCTGAAAGGGAACTATTTGTGACTGAACAATACTTGCCTTTCACAACTCCCTTCCTAATCCCAAATAGAAACGCGAGGCTGAGAAAATCTTTCTGATAGCAGGGAGTGTGGATACATTCAACCCAGTATAATTTTTCATGGCATTAATGCTCTGTAATTGCCAGGGGTTGGTTTGCAGGTTTTTATTGGACAAAGTGAAGGCAGGCAGTGTTAAACATCAATTGGAGGGGGTAGAAACAATTCTGGTGGTGATGTGGTGGTTTTCCATCAGTGCCCTCTTGTGAGGCACTGCTTCACAGATATCCAGGTTGAAAGCTGAGGTTTCAAAAAAAAACCAAAAAAGCCAATGCAAGCTAAGTCAGCTTTCTTCTTCAGTTTATGACTGAACACGAGATGGCTCGAGTCAAACTGTCCCCTGCTACAGAGACAGCCCTTTGCTCTGCCAGCTGTGTGAGCCCACACAAAGAGTGGGATCCCAGGGTGAAAGCCTGGCCACATCATCCACAGGGAACTTTGAAGGCCAGATTATGTGTGTAGGGCTGCAGTTTTTCCAGGATTCCCTGGAAAAGGACACCAATGTCCCAGTGAGGTGTGCCCAGCGTCATCTGTGCTTGTGGGATGTTTGGAGAAGCACCAAAACTGGCCTGGACATCAGCTCCTTGGTGTTCCTGGGGATGTTCCAGAGGGATGATTAGTGGCTGGCAGGCCCCAGGTCGTGTCCTGAAAGGTGCTTGATCTGAGGGGTGCTGATCACCTCAGGAACCCACCGTGACTTACAGAGGGACACGAGTGGCTCCACCTGTCTGGATGGTGGAGACAGAACGCTCCTCCAAGGCCACCTGTGTGTGCAGGTGAAAAATAAGACAGATACAATCATGAATTTTTGAAGCACCTTGGCTTTGTAAAGTAAGCCTTAGTTAAGGAGATACGGTCTGCAGAGCCCTGCGTGAGTGCAGCAGATGCTCCTCGTGTCTCACCTTCCTGCTGTGCTCAGGGTGACTCACTGGGCTGAAGTGACTCCCCTTCTTCTGCCCCAAGTGCTAATCCATTCTTAAAATTATATTAACTCATGTGTGCTAATTGGCAGGTGTGCCAGGGTGTGAGAGGCCCAGGATGTTAATTAGGGTTGATAAAAACACCTTCATGCAGGATACAGACCTGGACTGTGTCTCCCTTCCTTTCACCACAGAGAAGTGCTGTGTTGTGGGACCTTTCTCCTCTGGGCTCTGTGGTGGGATCTCCACGTCTCAGCTCAATGTTTGGGAGAGCCTGTGGGCTCCCTGGAAAGTTCACAGAATCACAGAATGTCTTGAGTTGGAAGGGACCTACCAGGATCATCCATTCCCACTCCTGTCCCTGCACATTCACCCCAACAATCCCACCCTGAGCATCCCTAGAGCAGTGTCCAAATGCTCCTGGAGCTCTGTGGGGTCATGCCCATTTTCTGGATAGTGGAAGAGCCTTTCCCTGATATCCAGCCTGACCCTCCCCTGACACAGCTCCAGCTGTTCCCTGGGTCCTGTCCCTGTCATAGGGAGCAGAGATCAGAGCTGCCCCTCAGGAGGAGCTGCATCCCCCATGGAGGTCTGACCTAAATCTTCTCCAGACTGGTGGGATTCATCCTGCCACAAGGATGGAAGGAGAAGAGACTTTCCCCAGTGGTGTCATTACTCAGCTGAGGAGGGAAGGGTCATTTTGTGCCCTGCTCCAGGGCTGAGCTCATGGCTGCCTCTGGAAGCTGCTGGAGGAGCCGTTCCCTGCAGCCATCCCCCTCGGAGCTGCCCTGCCTGTCTCCGTGCCGTTCCGGGCAGAGCACGCCGGGCTGTCTCCCAACAGGTTTTGGTAGTTCCTGGCTGGCACAGGGAGCACGGCTGTTTACACAAGCTCGGAGGAAGCCCACATCAAAAGGGTGTATCCCGGTGCGTCAGCGGGGCCGGGAGCCAGGGCCAGGCCTGGAAGTGCCTGTTCTCCCCAGCGGAGAGCCTGGCACTGCCCGCCGGGGCTCCTGCTCGGGCTGCTCCACACCTTCCCTGCTCACACTTCCCTGCAGGAAGCATCTCGTTTCTCTTGGATCCTACACAACTCAGCAGTCCCTCCGTGGGTCTCTCTCCGTGCGTTAGGATTGCTGTTTGTGGCTTGCTGGGTCATGATTGCAGGGGGAGTCACTGCTTTTCTTTCGCAGATCTGCACTGAACCTTGTGGCTCTGCACAAGTCCCTGACAGGAGGGGACAGCCAGGGGGTCAGGCTCTGCTCTCACGGAACAGGGACACGAGGAGAAGGAACAGCCTCAGGCTGGACACCAGGAGGAATTTCTCCATGGAACACGTGTTCAGGCATTGGCAGAGGCTGCCCAAGGAGGTTTGGAGTCCCCATCCTTGGAGGTGTGCAAGGAATTCTTGGATGTGGCGCTCTCATTCCAACGGGAGCAATCCTATTGTGGTGGCAGCAATCCCATTCCAATGGGAGCGCTCCTACTGCGGTGGCAGCAATCCCATTCCGACGGGAGCGATCCCGCTCCAATGGCAGTGATGCCATTGCGACCTGAGTGATCCCACTCCAACAGCAGCGATCCTGTTCCGACAGGGGCAATCCCACTCCAATGGCAGTGATCCTATTGAGATGGGAATGATCCCGTTCTGATGGCAGCAATCCTACTCCAATGCCAGTGATCCTGTTGCGACGGGAGCAATCCCACTCCAATGGGAGCCATCATGTTCCGATGGCAGTGATCCCACTCCTATGGGAACGATCCCATTCCAATGGGAGCAATCCTGCTCCAACAGCAGCGATCCTGTTCCGATGGCAGCAATCCCGTTCCAATGGGAGTGATCCCACTCCAGTGGGAGCGATCCCACTCCAATGGCCACAATCCCACTCCAATGGGAGCGATCCCACTCCGGCGGCAGCCCTCCCTGGGCGGTGTGGGAGCTGTGCCCTGCTCCAGCGGGCCGGAGGCGGCCGATCCCGAGTGGAGCCGCAGGCAGGCACAGCAGCCCCCGTCGCCCTCTGAGTCACTGGTGGCTCGCCAAACCTGCTCGTCTGCTCGGGGTTTGTGAGTTCCCAGCGCTGGAAGCTGCTCTCCCGTGTGTTTGTGCTGCAATGGGAGCTGCTGGCTTGCTCATTCGGGGTTTAAACTCACCATAGTGCCCAGGATTTTTCAGTGCTCCCCAGGCCAGTGTCTGATCCCATCCCTCCTTCAGCCTTTGCTGCTGTCCAGGTGGAGCACTGGTGCTTCTGGGGCGTGCCTGTGGTCACGGGTGGATCTGTTGGAAATATCTGAGATGAGAAGTTAAAGCCAAGGTGCTGTTTGAAGTGGGCTCAGACTCGCTGCTCGCTCCTGTTCCTGGTCACGGGGGCTGTAAGGATGGCTGTGCCATGTCAAATTGCTTCTCTGATATCTTGTCCCTGTCCCAAAATAGAATCATCTCCTCCCTTGCTCTGCACCCGCACCCCTGGGCTGTGGAACCCCACAGCCTCACTCCAGCTGTTAAATCCTTCTGGTGCCACAGCAGCATGTCCAACCCTGGGTCACAGCCAGGCTCCTGCACGTACCTTTTGCCTTTTTATTTTGTTATTTTGCTAGTGGTTCTGTCCTTTTCCCAGCTTGTGGTCACTGCTTGGTTGCAGAGGGTGGGACTGCAAAAGCAGGGGCATTGCTCAATAGTCGGTATGTGTGAAGCATCAGGCAGAGTTGTAGATGTTAATTTGTTAATTAATTTGATTTCTGCTTGTAAAGGATATTTACTGTGCTGTCTGCTTCTTTTTCAGAGCAGTTTCATACCTGTTTTTCTTGTCCCATGTACGTGGTGCAGAGCCAAGTTGGGGGATAAACACAGATGGGGCTGGGTTTTGTGTTGGTATTTCTTATTTATAGCAACCATTAGCCAGCCCTGGTCTGGAGGATGCTGCTGCTCAAATCTTAATCCAGGGACAGATATGTGGAAGGAGGAATTAAGTAAAACCAGATCGATGTAATTTCTAATTCCCTGCAGTTCCCGATCCTGGAAACCCTTCTGCACCTGTGGGCAGCTGACTGGGAGCAGCTGCGGGGGTGTTTTTAACGAGGCCCCTCCAGAAGCACCATCCCATAGGGAGCAGGGAACGCCTGGAGGGCAGAGGCACAAGGCACGGGCTAGGTCGGAACGTTTTATTTTCTGCCTTGCTGGTGAGCTGGTGCCTGCGACCACCGCAGAATCCCGAGGAGCGGAGAGCTGTGCGCCTGGAATGGGGAGCCAGCCTCTCTCGTGCTCCCGACACCCAGCTCCTGGCTCCTGTCGCAGCGCCGGTGAGTTAAAGCCAGCCCGGAGGGATGTCCTAGGAATTCAGATTTCGGGAGCCAGCGGGGCTGAGTGGCAGCTCGTCTGAAGCCTGCGACGGGAGGAATTAATCAGGAGAGGGAGGGAGGGAGGAAGAGACGGAGGGAGGGATGGCAAAACCCCAAACCTTCAAACACACCCAATTGACCCATCTCATCTCAGCGTGAAACTCTGCGAGTTACACCCACTCCGCAGCAGCAGGGGAATGAAATGCAGGCGCTTCCTCCTTTCTGCTAGCGGCAGCCGGGGCTCGGGAAGCACAAAAGGAGAAGATGTTTGTGCTGCTGATGATGAGCGGTGAGATTCGGGCGGGCTGCCGGCTCCTGGGGCTCGCACGGAGCTGGGGAGATGGGTTTGGGGTGCAGCACCGCCGGGCTGTCTGAGCTGTGTGTCCGGGAGGGCTCTCCTCTCCCCGTTCCCGTATTTTGTGGATGGAAGTGTTGCTTTCCGTGAGTTGTGTGTGTCGGGTACTGTTTGCTTCTCCAGTTTTTGTGCTGCTCAGAGGGCTCGAGCTGATTGAATGGGAGCTGGGGAGTTCATAGCTGAATTCCCCAAGAGAGAAAATGTGGTATCGTGTTACTGACTGGAGATGTTCCCCTCTCCAGCTGTCTGGCTTTATTTTCCGTAATTACAGGTTGCCATGCTCTTTAATTGTTGAAAATGAGCCCCGTGAAAGGTTTCAACTTGACTGCAGCTCTGTTGGGTGTCTGTGCAGGGCAGTGCTGCTCCCCGAGGGGGAACCCTGCCTTTTGGGGGGGCTCACACTTCCCAAAGATTTGGGAACACCGCGCAGCCGGGACTGGGGGAACCTCGTCCCTACGGAGCTGCTCCTTTTCCTCCCGGTTCCTTCAGCGATGGCTTATCAAGTTATTTAATATCCCGGGCGTTATCTCTGAATCTAAATTGCCTAATTCTTGGGTCGGTGACAGGAAATGTGAGCACAGAGCCCTGGCTCTGCAATTACTGTGACTAAGCACCGGGGCTGAGCACCCAGCAGCAGCGCTGTCTCCTGGCCCTGTCCCGGCTCCCCAGCCCGACCTGCTGTCCCCAGGGCTGCTGGGACAATGTCAGGGATGGCTCCTGCTTCCCCAGGGCCACGGGCAGGGTTCAGCCCTGACTCAGAGCCCTGCGACCCATCAGCTGTGAGTAATCCTCCGGGGCAGAGGCAAAGGGTAATGCATACCTTTTTCTGGGAGTTAAGTCACTCTGGAGCTGTTGGAAATGCGCTCCCAGAGTTTTGTTTCACGTACCAGAGCCCCGTTGCCGAGCTGGCTGTTGGCTCCTCGGAAGGTGTTTTAATATTGCAGGAGGGATTTACATCTCCACACGTGATCGGCGCTGTGGAACGAAGCGAGCAGGTTTGGTGGGTGCCACTGGCTTGCCTGTTTTCCCCCGTCCTTTTGGAGTTAAAAGTGATCCGTGCATTATGGAAAAGGTGTGGAAAATTGCTGTGCTCAGCACAGCACGTGGAGCTGAGGGATCAGGTGCCCAAATGTGGCAGGCCTGGTTGCGCTTCCTGGGGAACTCGCTCTTTAAAGGGTGCCTGTCTGGTTTCTGACCTGTTTTGAGGCAGAAATGCTTTATTTTTCCAAAATGCCTGACAGAAAAAAAAATCTGCCAAACCGCAAATTTGCATCATTTAAGCGTTTGCTTGAGCTTAATGCTTTTGCTCTGGGAAATCAGCGGTAGGACTGCTGCTGGAATTGGTGTTGAGAAGAAGCATTGATTTTGCAGTGGCAGTGAGTCTATTAGGCAGCAGCGTTTGGAGCAGACTCGTTTGTCTCTAATGAAGTTACACACTGTGGCTTGACTCATAGGTGATGGCTGTTTGGAAAGGAACCCCCAGGAAAACAGCTACTTCCCTGCAGGATCAGTGACCTGGACTGCTCCAGGGAATGCCTGGGAATCCTCCTGCCCAAAGCTGAGCCAGGAGGATGAGGTGGCAGCAGTGGGAGCTCCCAACAGGTTGGCTTGGGTCTAAACTGTGACCTCACTGTGTGCGTCAAGGCGAGACCTCACTGCTCCCCTTTGGCTCTGATGAGTTCCCCAGTGCTGGTCTTCTCCCGGCTGTGAGGGTTATTAGCTCAAAAAATTAAAGGCTCTTTGATGGGGGGCAAAAAAGGCTGCTGGAATAAAACACCAGCTTCTAAATAATTAATTGTAAAGAAAAATCCAGTGCAGAAGTAACAGTGGCATTGAGTTCATCAAGGAGGAGGATGAGACTCTACTGATGTGTCTTTCTGGGTATTATTTTGTTAAACTGGCGACTGTGCAGAGCATTGCAGGGAGTTTTATGGCCCAGTAATCCATTGCTGGATGAGGGAAATACATTATTTATGGACGAGAGTGTTTTAACATCCTCGCATGGGGTTGTTTAAGGAGGTCAGAACGCAGAGCAGCGGGAATGGGATTAGCCCGGCTGTGCCACAAGCAGGGGGCGAAAGGAGAAGTTACCACGTAGATGTTCATGTTTTTATTGTGCCTCACAAGGCATAGGTCACAAGAGTTAGGGGTTCCTAGGACCAGAATGGAGTTTTTATTGGTTGTGACATCTCAAATTCTAAGCGAGCTGGAAGCAGACACGAAGATCCTTTTCCCTGGTTCAGCAGCCCCGCTCCCGGCTGCGTGTTTGTGTTCCCAGCGGGATGCAGGCAGAGGGCTTGAGGAAGGGGGATGTTTGTGGGAGCTGCCAGCCCCTCCTTCCTCACAGGGGCAGGAAGCTGTGGTGTTGTCCCACGTGTGAAGGCTTTCTGCGTGCCGTGTCCCAGAGGCACAGCCCCGTGAGCCGGGCTCTGGCTGCCAGACAGGTGCTTGATTCACTGCAGAGTGCTTTTAGTGTAATTGCTTCTTGAGGCTTCCAATTAGGCCTTCCCTGAGAGCTGGGATGTGATGTTCTCAGGCAGCTCGGAAAGCCCTCGCAAAGCCAAGCAGGGGAATGATCTGGGAAGGGAAGGCAGGACCTGCAGGCTGAGCCCAGGGAGAGCTCTGCTCCTGGGAAGGGGCTCTGCTCCTGGTCTGCCTCAGGAATCTCCCTGCTTCCAGCACTCTGCTTTCTGCCTTTGCTCTTCCCAGCAGTGAGCTCTGGCAGGCTGGAGATTGGCAAAGCAGCAGTGGTTCAACTCTGGCACTTTCTGGTGGTGTCTAGACAGATGTCCCATGGTGGCTCTCCACGGTCTCGGAGGTCTTTTCCAGCTCTAACAACTGTATGATTCCATGGTCCTAGGGGTAGTTAGGAGCCCAGACTCCTGGTGATGTTACAGAGTTTAAGAAGTGACCAGGCAGTCTCTGGGCTGCAGGAGCTGTGTGCCTGTTGTTAGGAGGAGCATGGAAAATGTGCCGTGGTGCCACTTGAGCAAGACTGGTACGGGGTGAACTGCGTCACCTCGCATTGCCAGAGCTGCCCCTGAGTTACAGGGAGTGAGCAGCAGCTCTGGAGGCTCATCTGGGGCTGACCACAAACCACCCTGCACACGTACATCCTGCTGGAAGGGCACGAGTGTCTGCAGGCAGGGACATTGCCCAAAAATCCGCCATGGGGACACGGGAATGTGGAAGTCACAGTGGGTGTGCTCTTCTGTGAGTGTCAGGGTAAGAGGGGTGCCAGTGGGCAGCCACGGGCTTGGGAGCAGTTGTGTTCATTTCTGAAGAGGCAGAAACAGTTGTTTTCTTCTGAAAGCTGCTCTGCATTTCTATTTGCATTTTCCCTTCCTAACAGTTTGGAAGCGATGGGCTCAGTTTCTCCTGTGAGGTGCAGTAGAATGAGTCACTTGTTGAGGGGATGTGACACTGGGTAATAAGTGCAGAGCCAGCTCTGGAACAGCAGAGTCTTTATGCAAGAGGTGTTTTTCCTGAGTGTGGAGGGAAATGTTCCTTTCAGCCAGTGCTGGAGCTGTTGTCCCCCTCCAAAGATGAGGCTCCCTGAACTTGGGCAGTGTAGGGCAGAGCTGGGGAAGTTGCCAGACCTCTCCTGTAGCATTTTGTCCAAAGCCAGAAAGTGGTTTTGGGGTCTCTGTGATAACAGAAGTTGGACAGAAGAAGGGAAATATATAGGTTTTGCATGAGTACCTTCTTCCTGTGTTTCTGGGGGATGCCAGGATCTCCCTCCACACCTCACACTGCCCAGTGGCAGTGCAGAAGTACCCTCACAGCAGCTTGGCTTCGTGTATTGCTGTCACACTCAGCAACCCCGCTGTCCTGCTCTCCCAGGTGAGCACACAGTGCTCCCAGTCCGGTCCCTCTAACAGGGAGAACAAAGAACCTTCTGCCGCCTGCTTCCCAGCTGGGAATTGCTCTGCTGCTCGTTTGCATTAGCCTGGGTGGGGAAGGTGTGCTCAGAGTGTGCCCCAGGCCCTCAGACACTGAGATGGAGACAAAGGCTCCCATTGCGCAAGGCCACCCCGGCAAGGGAGCTGGGAATCTGCTGGGAATCTGCTGGGAAGGGAGCTGGGAATCTGCTGGAAAGGGAGCTGGGGAGCTGTTGGGAATCTGCTGGGAAGGGAGCTGGGAAGCTGCTGGGAAGGGAGCTGGGAAAGCTGCTGGGAAAGCTGCTGGGAATCTGCTGGGAATCTGCTGGGAAGGGAGCTGGGAATCTGCTGGGAAGGGAGCTGGGGAGCTGCTGGGTGCAGCCACCTCACAGAATCTTTTAGCTGGGAAAACATCTTTGGGATCGAGCAGTCCCAGCTGGTCCCGATGCCCACCTTGTCACCAGCCCAGAGCACTGTGTGCCAGGTCCAGGTGTTCCCGTGGGCACCTCCAGGATGGGCACTGCACTGGCTCAGGAGCCTGGGAGACCCAGCCCAGAGGTTGTGCCTGATCCTGCCAGCTTTCCCCAGCTGCTCCTTCCCTTGCCAGTGGTTTGCCCCCCTCCTGGGGAGGGGATCCCCGGGGAGAGGCCCCTGGGCAGGAGCTGGGGTGCTCCCGTTTTCCAGGGGTGTGTGATGGCTGGGTGATGTCTGTGCAGGAATTTCAGCAGTGGCTCAGAGCCCTTGTCAGGCATCCTCTGGCTGCAGGTGATGTGTAACACATGCCAAAGGTTGTTCTGGTGAAAAATGACTGATGTGCTGTTTTTAGCAGTAACAAAGGAGCCTTTTCTTTCTTCCTTTGCAACAATGAGAATATTGTGGGGTTTTTTTTTTCTCTGAAGTGGGAGGAAAGTTGTGTTTTTGTTGACTCTCGTGGTCCCCCATGGTGAGTTGGAGGGTGCTGCTGTAAGAGCTGTGAGGTGGGCAGCAGAAACACACAGCCAGGGAGACTTGAGGCACAGTCCAGAACTCTGTTCTCTTGGAAGTTGCAGGATA